TAAAGTTGCGAACAAAGTATTTTCGTCAATAGTTACAATTACCCTATTGACCTTGTTTTAATATAATATTGAAATAATATGTTTGTCACATAATAAGGGAGCATTATTATTTTATTGGTATCTCTTTCTCCCATGTTTTCTATAAATAATCATAATTAAAAAGTATGTACAGTGAAAATTCACTTAAGCAAATAACGATGGGACTAACAATATATGGTTTAAGATTTTTTCAGGAGAATATCTTTTTAACGAAGCTTTCACTGTACTAACAAATCCACGATTCAAATTTAGTAAAACCAATGTGTTTTAAATAAAAATAAAATTTATCTAATAGCCCACAATAAAACTTCAAAATAAAATAATTTTTTGGTCAATAAAATGAACGAATTAAAAAAAAATAATGAAATGCAATATCTCCAAAGCTACTTCATTGTATGTATATAAATCAGAAAGAATACATTTTTTTTAAAAATAAAATTTTTTTTAGTTGGTATTCTGATTAGAATAAAAATAATAATAAAATTATATTTAAATACAAAATATTTATTAATCTTAAATTTGATATAATAAACATATAATTTAGAATTTAAAACCAAAACAAATTTTTGTAAAATTTCGTACGTGATATAAAATAAATAAAAATAAAAGAATATTTGGGTTACACTGCCAGAAACTTACATTATTATATATAATTATATACTATTAACTAATATGCACGTTTTGTCTAAAATTGTTCTTTGTTTTAAATTTTAATGCAATCAATAATATAATATTTTTTTTTATTGTGTAGATAAAAGTTATAATATTCTCTTTTTTTTCACTAAAAAAAATATTTTTAGATAGTGTATCTAAAATATAATATATAATATATTTTAATGTGAAGATATAAATACACATATACCATATTTACGATTTAAGTTCAATAATATTTATATGTATAATTTTATTATTTATTCTCTGCGATATAACTTTGATGGCATCACATTTTTAGGCAAAACTGCCCAAAATTGGTGTGCACTTCGAGTCGTACGTCCTTAAAATGTTGCACTTTGCATTCAAAGCACTTAAAACTTTTTTTTATCTCATGACAAATGTTTCTTATATTTTCTACTTACAGTAAAAAATCTTCTAGACACTTAACCATAAATATTTAAAGTATCTGTTTATCATCATAGATGCTTAACAGAGAGTACGAGCCATAATCCAGCATAATGCGTCCTTTGAAAGAGTTGCACGTAAGATGACTTTGGTGGTTACTCCTTTGCATTGTTATGAATACAGAAAAAACAAAACAAAAAAAAAAATAAATAAAAGGATAATTTTGTAATTTTAGTGAAACACGATTTTTTGCTACGAAATAAATGATTATGTTGGTGATGTGCCCATTGAATGATGATTACAATGCAGCATCTAAATTGCTGTAAACAAAATCTTAAGTATCTATGAACAATGCGCACAGGGCTTTAGTATATAAGTATAAGTATGTACTGCAATTCAGTTTGGTTAGTTGGTTGGTTGGCTTGGTTATGGATCTTGGAATAAGGTATTGTGTATTTGAGATGTGCTTGCGATGATCGATGTGCGATGCGCGATGTGCAACTACAATAGGTTGGAATGGCAGCGTGTTCGATTATTTGTAGCTTGGAAAAGACTTTGCAGTTTGGGATTTGATATTTTGCTAGTAATTTTTCTTTGTTCATTATTTTGTTTATTTTTTTTTTTTTCGTTTACTGCTTGGCTTTTAGAAATTATGAATGCTGAAAGGTAACAAAATCCTATGAAGTAAAATCGTGTCATGGCCTTAACATTGCATCAAATCATTAAATGGAAATTCGTGTGAAAAGATAATAACATTGTTCGCAACAATATGTCGAAAGCCTCAATGTGCACTAAAAAACAGATTTTGTAATATTTGATTTGATGATGAGCTCGTCGCCTTGTCTATGAAGTTAAATCTTCATGTTTTTTTTCTCCTGATTTTGCTAAATTAAAAGGAAGTTGTTTAGACCTTGATTGCCATAATCAAGTTTAAGGTCGTTAACTAGTTTTACTACAATTGTTTTCGTTAGCTTGTTACATTTGAGTTTGATATATAATCCATGGCAAGCGTAAGTTATTGTTTACGTTTTTATGAAATTTGTGTCTTGTATGGAATATTTTGTTAAAAATATATATAATATATCCACGCCAAATCAACACTTTACAGTTTTTTAAAACTGTTTGATTTATAATATTTTATAAATATTTATAATATTTCTTGATCAAAATAGCAGTGAAAGATACGAGAAGTAATCTAAATAAATCTTGCTGAAACCGAGTGCTTTCGTTGGAATGTCTAATGCAATTACAGTGGAAGTTCAGTAAGCGGATACAAAAATGAACATTTTTTTTTATCCAACATTTTTTATTATCCAACATTAACAAAGTGGGCTTTTTAAATAAACAGTTCTCTTAACCGGACAAAATATTAAATTTAGTTTTCTTAACGTTTTCTAAAGTAGATAAAATAAGCGTTACAAGATCATGTCAAAGGAGAGGCGGGTTTACACTAGGAAATATTTTTTTGTCATAGTTTTTTTCAAACACGCAACAATAACTATATGTAGAAAGTAGGATTCTAATTAGTGTCATTATCAAGATCTTTATAACATCTTTATAGAGTTATAAATGCACTCTCTCCGTTAAAACTAATACTAATCTTCAATTCTTTCTTTTTTATTAATTGAAAAAATTGTTTCTTCAGTCCCTCTAAAGTTTTATTATCAAAATTTCTAGGTATATTTTTATATAGTTATTATTTACAGTTTATATTAACAAGGAGTAAGAGAGATCTAATCACTTATCCCACTCAATACACCACTGCTGTGTACCCAGTGTGTGCGCCGACACTTGTGTAAGAAGTGTGCATGGTAGTAGGTGTTTTTCCAGCTTACGACATTTGACCAGAGATGGCAATATCTGGTACCTCGGGGTTCAGCGGCCCGCAGCTTCGGCTGTGCTAACCACATGTAGTTGTACTCGAGGGGGTTGTGGTTAAAACTCAAAGTCACGCCGATAGAATGATTCAGGTATTAGCATTCATTCGTGGAGTGCGTATATATCGCCGGGTGCTGTGACCCAAAGATCAGCAGAGGTTTAGATGGGTCTCGCATCAAGGTGGAAGTTATGGCTTACACACATTTCTTCATTAACATCGGCATTCACAGCATAGAACGTAACGTTATATAACATATGGTAGAGATCTAGATACTGGTAATTTTAATAAACAAGCTGATAAGATGAATGATTGTATTTAACACCATATCTAAAATGTTGTAGTTTTAAAGCACTGATAAATTTTGACGGAAAAACTTTTTTGTTTTTGACCCGAATGAATTATTCGAATAACCTTTATTCATTCGATACATGTTTCTAAGTTTTGATGTGATTTTAATACCGGCATTAAATTTTTGATTTTAGAAAGGTTATCTACTAAGCTTACTTCACAGGTTTGTTAATTGCTCATTTTCCACTGAATTTCTCATACAGCTTATATTACTTTACATTAGATATTTATGTGAAGTATGACAATAAATATTTTTTCTATGAACTATACTAATAAATACTGTTCTTTTATTTGAATTACTTCTGTTAATTCTTTAATTCTTCTTTTATTCGTTACAATATTAAAATTATTGATATTACAAAAGCTATGACAACAATAATTTTTACAAAGAATTCTCTTATTAAACTTTTAACTACATTTTTCTTGGGTTGAGTGCTTATATGATTCAATTACTTCTGGAATTTCTTTGTATCTTATCTCTTTAATAGCAAACTAAAGAATAAAGTGTTTGAAAACAATTGAAAATTAATTGGAACAATTTAAAATATTTGCTTTATTTTATGTGGAACTTACATTGTAAGTATTATTTTTTATAATAGTTTTTTAATGAGTTTTTCAGGAATTTGAAGTACAATATCAATATTTTTATTTGAAGCAGTTTAAAACATAAATAACAGAACTATAATTATTAAAAAAAAACGTTTTAATAGATATTTTGTGGATGCATTCCCAAGTTTTTCAACAGAGAAACAATATTTTTTAACTAATGTTCTATTCATTAAATGGTATTAATTTTACACCTAATATTTATTTGTTATAAATTAAAATTAATTAAGATTTATTTGGCTTAAAGATATACATATGCGTAACCATCCAAGTTTCATCGCAGTCCTTGGATAACGCAATGGATCCGCAGTCTATTTACATAAAGTCTTACATACAAATTTAAACTTAACCTAACTAAAATAAATTTTATATTAACTGCTATTAACAATTATTGCAATAAATATTATCTTATAAGTTAATCTTAAAATATATATACATATACCATAGTTATGCATTCATAAACTATATTTTGCACATGCAATATTTCTTTGCTTGCTTATCTTCAACGCAGTTAGCTATTTTTGCGTAGGAAGTAAGACAACTTATATCTTCCACATTTATTTTTATTGTCTTTTTCAGTGAATCATATACCACCGAAGCCTTATATATGGCTCTTTTAGGGTTAACTGAGTACTCAACTCTATATGTTGGTTGACTATTTACGGCATCATTTTCTTCTACTTTAATTAATGCGCTATTGATATCGCGTAATTCTATTTTACTACAAATTGAACTTATGTTCTTCATCTCTAGATATTCGTTCATCGAATTAATTATTTGATTTGTTATATTCTTTATAATTGAATTATCAGTTGGTACAATATCATAAAGTGTACAAGTGCACCAGTGTTCTGTTATGCCCGCGTCGGCACATGTCCTATTTTCTGGTACTTCCTTAAAAACACTTTGACATTTTGGGCAATTTTGCGCTGCAGGTAATTTAATTCCAGGCTCAGATAATTCTAATATATGTTTCATTGTCATATATATATCATAAGATGAAGTCAAGCGGTGTCGATTGACTTGAAGCGCTTTTACTATATCTGGATGACGATTTTTAAACCATTTTGGTAATGATATAAAAAACATCGGCAAACGATTCTCCAAAAACCCGTTGGGTTTACTCAATAGCGAACCCCATCTCATGCCATGATCACTTAGGAAAAAAACAATAGCATTCTCTAAAATACCATTTGCTTTCATTGTTTTAAAATATTCTAACATTTTGCCATCCATTATTGAGGAAGCATCAAATGCATTATGACTGATTGAGTTTGTCCAAAATAAACCAAATGTGGGTTCTTCCTGATAACGATTTGCTAGTTGCATCATATAGTCGTATATATATGCAGCATACTGTTTTCTACCGATACAATATGTTAATCCATAGAAATGGGTAACATTCAGTTTATTTGATATTGCTAATAACATTGGTCTTAGGTAATGATCTGTTGGAACTTTTTCAAATCCTTTTTTGAGATAATTAAATGTACTCATCCATGCTTCATCTTCAGCAAATGCAGTTCGATATCCATATTTTTTAAAATCGTTCCAGATAATATTACATTTATCAAGACCACCCACGCTCTTCGGATCACATTGTTCAAATGTAGTTCGCTCATCCATACCAGCCATAACAGCCATTAAATTTGGAAATGTATTATCACCAATCTATGAAAAAAATATTTTAAGACCTATAAAAAAATGTTATGTTAACAAATATATACACTTTACCTTGTTTGTACCCTGCATCTCGAACCAATTGTTTTCTTGAAAATAATTGAACGTAAGTGGCATATTTCTACGAAAATTAATACTTGATAAGCTGTCTATGCCAATCAGATACACACTCGGTTTTCTGGTATTGTTTGCCGGTCTATCACCTTTTACAGTAGAGGGTAATTTTCTGTATTGTATAAAAGAGAATGCATCCTTTTGTATTATTGTTGAATTTAGACTACATTCAACTATCATATATTCAATATGATCGGGCACCACAAAATACTGGTGGAAATGGGTGCAGGGTAACAAACTGAAATAAAATTTCATAACTATAATTCATTCGATAATAAAATAAAAATTTATATATAAAGTATATAATTCGTTTAAGCACAGGAGTGAATCGAAACAATTACAGGAAGCGTACTGAGATGTATAATTTTTTAACCATTCAGTAATTTATTTCTGTCTGCTTTTCTTCTTATTTTCAGGAGCATAACTCACTGGATTTAGTAGCAAACATGTACTTGATAGAATTGTATGAATAGTTAAGCACATTACATTTTAAAGAATTTTCATTTCAGTGGTATTGTGCTTTTATGAATTTTTTTATAAGGTCGATATTGAATCTATTAAGACTGCTATAAAGCGGTTTACTCAAGAAAGCAGTTTAATGCAGTTTTCTAAATGAACATACGTTATTTTGGATATCCTGAAAATTGCAGTCCACTTAGGCTATCACAGTTATTAGAAAAAACAGTATAGACAATAGATTATTATAATTCTCACTCATATGAATTGTCAGCTTTGCCGCCACTTCCTGAACGCACTATTTCCTTATAGCAACACATCAACTGATCTTCAAACTCTTCCAGACTTGAAACTGCACTCAAATTTGCTGTTTCAGTGAAATATGCTGCTGTTTTAATTTCCAATAAATATTTAAATATATTTCGATCGAATATAACATTTATGAGTGAAACATCATTTGAGCAATTTTTATATGTTTGCTTCTCAAACGACTTCATGACAATTGGATCGAAAGGATCAACATATGGTATTTTACAGTGTGTCGTATTTACAAGGTACTTTGGTTTAGCTGACAGTACGAATGGAGTAGTATGTTGGGTTGTGTAATTTTGACTACTATTTTTACTTTTAAGTTCATTTATTTTGTCACTGTTCACATTATTTATAGAACTGTTAAATTGAAAATTTTTTAAATGCATCCAATTTTGTTCGCTTTGACCATAGTAACCAAAACTGTTCCAGTCCAAAAATTTATATATGAACACGGTAAAAAAAAATATTAATAAAATTATTTTTCTGTAATTCTTTTCACGGTCTTCAGCAGAATTGCCGTTTTCTGTTTGATCGATGAGTTTGTACTTCACAGTTGACATGTTCGAGTTGCGATTATTCATTTTTGAAATGCAATACACTTTTAATTTGCCATTAATTTTTAGTTTTCACCAAACTACCGTATTTACCAACGTGACACTTTGAGGCAAATGCTTTTTAACGTTTACTTTATTTATTTATATACATTTTACTCTAAATATTTTAAAACTTTTAAATAGTTCTTAAATTTTAATAAATGCATAAGAATATGCACGTACGAAACTGCAATTTACTCAACTTTATCAGTTCATATACTAAAAAAGCAATATATTTTATGTGCTGTTTTATTTTGCGACCGTTAATTTATTAACTATCTTATTAGATAGGTAGATGATAAGTTAGTATGGTTGTTGAACTCTAAAATTGGCAGTTGGCGGACTTAGGTCAAATTGACCCGTAGTTATACCAAACAAAGGGTTCAATTTTCTTCGTTCGTAACTTTCTCCTTATATGAAATCTTAGTAGATTTTCTTCATCTGATAATAATTTAACACGAGTATTTAATGGTTTCTTCTTCCCTCTTAACAGCAAAACTTTCTTATTAGTCATGGCATATAATACTCATTCTCGTCTACCGAAGAATGCCGACAATGTCTGGTGATGACTCGCTAATATTTGATATAACATTCTTCGGATTGAAAGCTGTATGTCCCAAATAATTATTTTATGTGAACATGTAAATACACATCATTTCGCATTACAGTAAAAGAGATGATATATGAGTATTTGTAACATCAGCAAACGATATTTTGGTTTATTCTTATAGCACAACCATTGGTCATAGGTAATAATCAGTTAAAACGTTTTCAAATCCCGTTTTAAGATATTCAAATATATTTAACAATGCTTCATCTTTGGTATATGCGCTCCGATATACATAGTTTTAAAAATATCTACAAATGAAGTCATCAAAACTTCTGAAAAGATTCATTCATTTTTGATGTCTCTTCATCCATATCAGCCTTAACAGCCTTCAAGTTTTGATATGTATTGTTTCCAATCTAATTGTTATGATAATATGATAATAAATAAATTTTTAAGATTTATTAAAAATTCTTGTAATTAAAATAAATTATTTTACCAAAAATTTAACTGAATAATTATTTGAAAATGAATACTTCAGCACGACTGCCGTTATCAATCAGATATAACCCTGGTTTACTAGTATTGCAAGTCGGTTTATCAAAAGCAACTTTAGAAGATAATTTTCTATATTGCATGTATGAGAAAGCATTTTTATGTAATATATTATTGTTGAGCTTAAACTATATTCTATTGTCATCTATTCGATATGAAAGGGAAACAGCAAAATTCTGATGAA